GCAACAACATCAACAAGAAACACTATTTTAATTCTTTTGGATATTAAGATACTAAGCCAATCTACTTGTATTGCAATTGTATGAATTTGCTTGGTTAATTGAGACCGATGCGCTGCATTGAACAACATATCGATATAAAACATGGAGCATTTTCGACATTTCGTTAACAATATTTTAGAAAACAATTTTGGAATTAATTATTACTCTTTAAAACGCTAAGGGCACGTTTTCATTTCATTTTGCCGAGGTTGCTTTCAACCGAGAAGCTACATTTGATGCCATATCGATACAAAACTATTTAACTTTGAAGGATTTCTGACATTTCGACCAACAAGATTTTAAAATAGAATTAGTTAAGTGTTTTTCGCTCAATTTAGCCAAGACTGCATTGAATACATTGATTTATGATATTTTGTGAAATTCATTGTTAAGATAAATGTTGCATTGATTCGATTATTTTGTATTTAGTATCCGGTTTATGTTGTAAAAGTTTCGTTTATTTGCATTTAATATCGTATTAAAACAAAATTGGATATCTTTTTGTTTCTATTGAGTGTCTTCATTCCAATCTCTTCTATTCATGTCAATAACACTCTATGCGAATTGCTTTACGCTTATAGTCTGTTATCCCTTTGCTAAACGACCAACAGAGAGTAAAAGAACAAACAATGTGAATGTTCTGTATACTTTAGTCTTTATTTCCGTTAGATATTTTACTTCTATAAAATAAATAAAATCTCCAATAAAATTATAACAAATATATGTGTATATATACGTTTTGTTCTTTATGACATACTGGATTCACTGGCACTTTTGAGCGTTTTGATTAGTTAAAAATTGTGATATAATAATTTAATAATGGTAAAATATTGTTTATTCTTTATCCTCCATAGTATGTATGCAGTTTTACAATCAAACCCACTTGCTATGGATTTTCTTTTTAATATAATAATATAACTCCTTTTTCAAACATAGCACATCGAACAATACAATTTGTCTTAATAAATTTCACTTCGAGTGATACCTTCAAGCATTCTATTATGTCCTATAACAATAATAATTATAACAATAATAATTATAACAATAATAATTATAACAATAATAATTATAACAATAATAATTATAACAATAATAATTATAACAATAATAATTATTACAATAATTATATAACAATTTTTCACGTTTAAACTTTTTGTTGCACTGTAATTAAACAACAAGCTTTAAAAATAGAAACGCGAATTAATTAAATAGATTTTAGTAAGATTTTAGAGAAGATTGACCATTTTGATAATATGGAAGTTGATAATTTTTTGTCCCTTTTTCTCCAGATCACTCTGGAGAGTCACAGAGCAACCAAGATTCTCTTCTACTAGATTTTCACTTCATGCTGATTATTGCAAAATTATTTATATATAACCTGTAACTCTGAATGTGTTAAACTTCAGAGTGATATGAACCATCCAGATTTGACAATATTTAAAATCACTCATCAAGCATTTATTACCTATAAACTGTTCTTCTAATCTTGGTGGCACTAATCTTAAATAAGTTGTCCACATCAGCGAATAGGGAGACATTTGACAGCAAGCTCATTATGTGTTCGTATGCGTATTAGGAGTGCTCTTATTTATTTATTGACTTACATCCTTTAAACTACGCGATAAGACAAGCATTCCACAATAATCCTTTGCGTACATATATTATCGCGCACGGTAACCAGGTCAAAGGTTTTATCCTCCTCCACAAATGTCATCAATAACCCGGTTAAGCTCTTAAATAAACAAAAGGTTGGACAAAGAATCAAATTACGAAAACATCAGAAATTACAGTATCGCTCTAAATAGAACGGTCAACCAACAAATCAAAGAATACAAGATGGGTGGAAATCGCATAAAGATTGCTTACATAAATTATAGGATGTGGAGAGACTGCATGTCAATCCGCATTGATCCTGAATTCCGTAGTATCTTTATTAAAGAATTGAGACAAAAAAAATAGACGTTACCATATACTGATTATATACACGACTTCCTTTGTGATTTGACTACAAATTAAAAGCCCTGAAAGGCGATAAAAGATTAAATGATTTTAAGGATGATTATCGGAGAGGTAATGTATTAGTTAAGAATGATGGAGTTTTACGAAGATTTTGAGTCATTGTCGTCGTTTCTTCAACAATTGATTTTAATTTCACTGAAAACCTCGAAATTACAGCAATCACAGAAATCTTAAACCGATGACCCATGTACAATATCCATCTAGCTAATGTTATAAATATCTCCTTTAAAAGTGAAATATCTCTGACAACCCAGAAATATACTCATGAAACCGCCACATAACAAATACATTCATTTAAGAATTACAGACGCAATAAATGTGTTTGATTTTTAACGTTGCGAAAGTAATTGAGGCAGTAACAGTGAATGGAATGGTTGGCTATGTTGCTAAATATAATATACTTTCTAGGTTTCAAAGTGGATATATTAACGGGCATTCAACTGTCCGCGCTATATCCAATAAGATCTATCTTTTTTATTGTATATAAATAATTTATCGGAAAATTGGAAAATATATCAATATTTTATGCTGATGATTCAATAAAAACAGATGACAAAGTTAAACTTTCGAATAAAATTAATGTTCATTATAATTCAAATAATACTAAATATTAGTATAAACTTCCTAAGGGTGAAATGAGTTGTGATGTTGATGTATTGCAAGGGAAAACTTCGTTATGGGGCGTAAAGTTGTGTTCAGGATTCACTAGGAGACATAAAACCATGTCGCAATCTCGCAGAGAAGTGTTACTAAGAACAGTGTCGCGTTAGTTGGTATTTATACCGCGATAGTTTGGGTTATTTATCATATGTGCTTTGCGACGCGAATGCACTACGAGGTTGTGTTTTAGACATTAAACGTGGAGGACATCAACAAACGCATTTTTGTATTGCATTGTTTGTACTAACTTTATTAATTACCTACAACGATTTTATCAAACCGTGAAAAATAATACAACACTTCGATAAGACAAAATTCTATGCAATAATAAGAGATACATTAGCAAAAGTTATGTAGCTCCGAACATTGAATTTTTTTGCATATCCATATTTCATATTATATGTATGCGCGGAAAGGTTTAGAACTATTTGGAACTACAGATCTCTTCTACCAAAATAGGCCTAATTGCATGAGTGTTGGCTACTACTAAAGCTCCAGGAAATCTTAAATATTCCGTGCCTAGATATGGATTGCCTATATTTGTCTGTCTCAATCTACGAATACGAATAGTGGATCATAGAAGATCTCTTTATTTTCTCTAGTTAAAAGTCTTCTGGCTACAAATACTAGTAGTTTTCATAGTTACTTTAGCTTTTATTGCTTAGTGCATGTGATTCAAAATCGTTTTTGACAAAAAATCGAAAAATATAATTTCTCTAAAAACCTTTTGTTATTGCTATTTATGCATTGCTTTGGTAATAATGACTCGTAAAGGAATGTTGCAAACGTTTCCGATTCTTAATTTCTTTTTCTCATAATCTCACAATCTTTTTAGAAACAATTACCTTTTAGAAAAATGTACATAAAACCAGTACAAACAACACATTCTTTCCAAGATTTTAAGGTGCTTAAAGTTAAAATCTATTGCCACTTTGTTATATTGCTCGTTATCAGCTCTTCGAATTCATTAATACATTTAGTATGAATCAATTCCAAGATACGTTGGGAAATCAATATGATTCAATGATTCAAAGTGCGAGATTAATTTAAAAAGGTTGTATAATATAAATTTTTCATCTGTAAAGAAGAAACCTAGAGGCCAAGGGTGTAAGTAAGCTGTATTGATTTATTTTGAAATTGTAGGGGTCGACATCTTGGAACCCCATCTACAACTTACTGTTACCTTACGCCACTTATGCAAAATACTGTAATGCATCAAAGTAATTATCGTGCAAAGTTTCACCTTAGATACAATCTGTAAGTTTAAAAAAATATCGACCACCTAAGGAAAAAATTAATGGTAAAAAATAAAATGGATTTTAAAAGCTTTAAAATTGTAAAATCCATAAATTAACGATAAAAAGCTTAAAAAATGCATGCGTTTCAAAATCCTATCTCACAAACGGGTATAATCATTAGTCATTAAACGGTAAAGCCGAGTTGAAATCAATCATTTCGGAAATTAATCCCCCGGAAGTTTCCGGGGTCCAGAACCCGATCGTTATTCATTTGTGGAACCTTCCACACCACCAAATTTTCAATTAACGAGTTGCAACCCCCATGTATCAACCCTCCGATTTACGAAAGGAACTCAACATTGGAAAACCACAAAAAAAAACAATCATTAGCTAAATAAACTTCGTTAGAATTCTTGTAGAAAGAACTAATCCCAATCTAAACGATTCAATTATGTTGAGGGAGATAAAACGATCAGGGGTGGATAAAAGTTAAGTAAGTGGAAGGATAATTTATTTTTTTGGTAGTTTAACCCAAATTAAAACAAGAAAAAAATTATTGTAAAAAGAGCAACTATAAAACAACTAAATGTTTATTACAGAAAATCGCAAAATGTATTTAAAATATTCACACAAGATAATTAGAGACACCTAGCGGCGATTTTCCCAACTGGTAACTTGAATCTGAAATGTATTTTGAGGCCCGTTTCTGGAAGGTTTCAGGCGGTTGGAAAGCGAATTGAATCGATAACTTCGCTTCTCGAATATAGAGAGCGCGAGTGGTGGTGTAATTTGAATGTTCAAACGAAGTAATTTCATTTATTTAACCAAAATAAAATTGTATACATACATAAAGTATTTTATTTTTATGTAATGAATCCATGCAGGTAAAATAGAATGTTTAATGAAGCTTATTCATGTTTTAATAAAGTTGGAACCTGTATCCAATGAAAACAAAACAACGTTTTCAATGAATATATGTAATTAATTCGCAAATTAAATTTATGCTTTAAAGGACTGGACGATTTAAAATAAATATTTACTAACCTTTTTGGGCGATATCATTTGCAACCTGAAACACAAAAGAATAATAAAAAATAATTACCATAACACAATAATGTTTTGTTGAATTTTCAATTTAAAATTTAAAATTTTCTCTATTTCTTTTATAAAGCGGTTGGAAACTTTTATAGCGTTCATAGAAGTTTCTTTTTTAAATTATACACGGTATACGTCCCACTTGACTTTCTTTGCCCGCAATTCACTCTACGGATATGCGCAATATCTTGGGGTTCGTCGACTTAAATTTTAATAAAGCAAGATGTAATGCAATGTTGGCCCGAATGTAGTACGAGTTGAGAAGTTTGAGAAATTTAAATTTAGTCCTGTAAGTCCAAATCTTCATTTCATTTCTGCTCACCAAATGCAAATTTGTTGACAAGGATGCATAATTCGAAACTTATTACGTAATTTTTAGTCACTCGAGAAGGAAATTTACCTTTATAAACATTAAATATTCTTTCAAATTAGTAGATTTGTATTAATTTTAATCGATGGAATAAACTTTTTCTTTATTTTTTTTATAATTATGCTTTTAATATTGTGAAAAATGATTTGTACAGAAAAAACAAATCCAAATGATACGCAAACGTTGTAGTGAAAGAAGTAAAAAGGAATGCTTTGACCAATGAGAATATGCCTCATTTTATTGTTTTTTGAAAACACACGAACATAGTCAGCACTACGAATTAGCGATACCACTTCCGTCCTTTGTACAAAGTTGTTTACTCACTTCTCATTCATGAATATTTATAATTCTGATTAATTGCTCATAGTTGGAAAGATGTTATCGAATCTTGAGTACACATATTCTTTCAGGATATAGACCATAACAGAAATCTACAGACCTAAAACACGAAAAGTGGTTTCAAGAATACGTCAGGTTAGCAACATAAAACTTCAGAATGTTTTGGCAGATTGGATAAAAACGCATAGATGATTATCAATTTAGCTAATCAAATTTGTATTTGAATAAAACAATCACAATCAAATTTGCAAACGAAGATATACAATATTGAAAGTCAAATAGCGTTATCGATATGCATCAAAACCGATGCAGAGCTTGGAACTAAAATATAACTTTAAATATTTTTTGATCCCTTATTGATTTCTGTTGATTTTAGATCCCTGACTACTCCTTGAATAAACTATCACATACCGCAAAGAGAGATAGAAATTAGAGATCTGTGATAAAAGTAAACCCATCAGGATTGATAAGGTTGTCTGCTTTTATCCATTGATGAAGTTAAGAATTTTGGAGCTGTAATTGATTGTGCACTGTCTTGGAGAATTAAAATTGGGGTTGTATGCAGAAAGATCTATTGTACAGGCTTTGGCGTTTTAAAGTTTAGACTTGATTGCAAAAATAATTTAGAAACAAAGATACCTAAAGTTTCATCAATTTCTTTTCGAAAACATTTGTTTTCTAGTACTAAGTACTAAGCTAAAATGTCTTGAAACGTGTGGTGAATGTATAACTTTTTTAAAGTAATTTAATCTCCGTACTTGTAACTCTTTCTTAATCCTGTGAAAAGATCAGATTTCAATTTATGAAATAAATTCTGAATTAAAAAGCTACAAATTCTCCATTTCGAAGCTTTTATTGATTTCGAACTGTTTTCGAAAATCTCATGGAGGAAATATTTATGGTAAGAAAGGCACGTTCAGCGTGATCAAGCGGAATAAAACATCATCCTGAAAAAAATGTGAGCAGTTAGTTCGTATTCAACGGTGTCAAACACATATTTTCGATATGTAGGATCAGTAAGATCCATGTTTCGTTCATAAAACTCATCACATATGCTTAGTAAATTATTGTTTATATCGTTAAATAGGTACTCGTAAAATGTATAGGATTTAATTAAACTTTCCTAAACTACTATGTTCTTTCTTTGTAAAATGATGTACAGGACATTTTAGAGCTTCTAGCTCCCCATATAAATTTGAATATGTAATACCAACATAATTGTGCTCCCATTATACGTCCATTTCCCCCTTTATTAAAGAATGAATTGGATTTCCCCGACAATACTAATTCATGTTGTAGTTTCTTCTCAATAACATTGAAGTTGTAATTTCCTTCAAAAGTGGTGGATGCGCCAGTGAATCAAATTTATATCATGTATCGTTTTATGTTTTAGTAGTTTTATTTAACGGCTAGACGTTTGCGTGTTCGTAATTTGGGGCACTGAATTCATTCATGCCATTTGCTATGATTGCGTGATAATCGGCCCACCAACCGCGAATCATGCAAATTTAAAACTCTACGAGCATGCAAAGTATAAAATCGAGATTGTAGCAACAAATAATACGGTTTATGGCTCATTTGAATTTTACTGTCTGCTGATTACGATTTATAACGTAATCGAAAGAATTATGGTTCCTAACTCAATATTTTTTAGGTAAAATTGATTCCACAAACAAATTACGTTTCATTTTTATTTTATTAATGATAAAAGAACTGCGATAAAACAATAACTTTTAAATTTTAATACGAATAGATAAAGTTATAAAGGGCCACTCGATGGCTGTCTCTACCCTTAATAGAAGAAGGGAGAACGTCGAAGTACCATTTGGAAGGTCACAAATATTGGCTTCTTTTACGGTTCTATATCACGCCAGCTCCGTGCACTTGACCTAAATGATAAGGCTCAAGAATAAATTACGGAAATGCGGTATCAGTATATCACCACGACCAACCGGAGGCCGTTTTAAGTGCGATTTCCTGTTTTAAAGTCCTGTTACGCCACGATCCCTAGGGACCATCACCAAATATCCCGTATACCTTCGTCCAAATTAATATTCACCCTCCCAAAATTCAGAATAACAATTTATATAATTACATTGTAGTTTCACTACGATAATATACTAAATTTTACATTTTAATCTCATTAAAGTTAGAAATACTTCGTTTAAACACCTAATAGACACCTTTAAAATTAAATATACCCGTCTTCAACCAAAAAGTTAACTTTAGTCTTCCACTTACGCTTCTATTTCGCGTCGTTAAATATGGATTCTTAGTTGTCTCAACTCTCCTCAACTTGTTTACTACGAACACGCGCGGTTCATTAAATTAGTTACACTACGAACATGAGTGAGCTCACGTAAACATTCAACGTAAATAGTTAATTTAAAGATTGAATATTACATTATGACGTTAAGAGATTTCTTTGAAATATTATATAAAAATTACGAATTTAGTGAAAAACATATTTAATAATGAAAAGAGATATATTCTCAAGTTACAAACGAGTGGGCTTGAAAAGCCGTCGTGCGGACTAATTCAATTTTGAGCAATATATAATCTCTCACGTTCCCTTTGAAAAGCCATGCGGAACGACGACTTTGGGAAGCTCCCGAAATCGCCTACGTTCACACTTTTCCCCTAAATGGGGATTAATGAGCAAATTCGAACTTCGAGCGCACAAAATGAAAGGGTAGTGGTGATCGTTTGTGGGGATGAAATGACGTCAACAGGGCGAGAGGAAATGGGTTAAAATATTGAAAGTTTTACTAACGTCGTGACGGTTTATTCATGAAACGGAACAAACTGAATAGTTGTTTATCTTGGTGTGGATCAATTAGTTAATGAAGAAAATAGGCGAAACAAATGCAGTTGAAATATTTCCTTTTGTATTGTTCATTTCATAGCAAGCAATAAATTTTGAATTTAATACCATTCAGTAACAAAGTAGTTCAATATGGAACAGTTCCAAACTGCATGAACGGCATACGTGCCAAAATTTGAATTACTTCCACCCGCCTACCCATTTAAAAGGCGATAAATTGACGACAAGAAAGAAATTTCCACCCTATTTAAACTGTTTAGCAATCGATAAATCTTTTAAGAACTATATAACAAGAAAAAATGTAACAATTCAAACTTACCTGAATGGAAAATGGCTCATCTCCGATTTTTGCATTATTAAAGACATAATCTGTAACAATATAAAAAATTGATTACCTCAATATTATGAATAAAATTGAAATGTTGTAAATCAAGGATTTTCATTAAGTTCATAAAATTAAAATAAAAACTAATAAATACTAAATTTATATATGTATTTATAATTATGTACTCTCAATAGTCTTCATTGATACTCGTAATTTAGTAGAACAACGTTCATAAAAATAATTGTTTTAATGATAAACTCAAGACTTTTGTCGAAGATGATGGTGTAATAATGTGCGTTGAATTCTAAGAGTGCTGAAGAAAATGTGTTTTATTGAACAACATGTTGAGAAATTAACCGAATAGTTTAAAAAACTGTATATTTCAATGTAAAAAAAGTTATTTTGACATATTTGGCGACAAATAGAACATTATTTTTGAAATTTCATAAATAAGATAACAAATGAATTGTAATAGTATATAAGTTCATAGAATTTCATGACCGGTGTCATCACAAATAAAACTGAAATTGAAAACATGGTGGTTTTGCAGTACAGAGAGCAAAATGTAATGTCGACATTCCTCAAAAATTTGAGCTTATTAATCCTCAAAGATTTCTCTTTGACTCAGTTGAAGGCCATACAATCCTAATCAAGACACACCTTCTATATGAAAGACCAAAACGTTCGAGGCACTGCAACTGGTAATTGGAAAACTACTGCTAAACATAACAGACAAATTAGTCATTGAGAAATCAAAGCAACAGTACAAAAAGTGGCGAGAAATATAATTCAAGAAACTCGCGTCCATCAACCTATAGCAAGCGTAATTAACTGATCTACACACCGACTTGGGAAACATTCGCCAGTTTTATCATCCTTTTCAAGAAACACAGATTCATACAATAAAGATTTAACATATTTATAGGACTATTTGGCAATATTCATTTCTCTAACTATACAGGATATATTAGTCAACTTCAACGTGGAATGATTTTTAGCACAGTGCTGATAAGGCATGCGGTGGAAGTTTTAAGACTCATACCAAAATATGGTCCAAAACGATCCTTAGAAATCAAAGTTTTGGCTGCGATACGTAGTTGATACCTTTCTCATTTAGAAGCAATGTCAAATAACGACTGCATAATTCGTTGTATTATTTAACTAGTGTTTAATGACAAAAGTTACCATTCCTCGATATCTCAATAACCACCATTAACAAAAATGAAAATTCGAACACAGGAAGAAAACGTATTTGAACAGGAACCCATAATCATCATACCACATACTTTATATATCACATTCTTTTCCAGAAAGTCAGGAAGATATGCGACAAGGAGATATTGAATTACCACGAAACAACTACTAAAGAACGTAGTTCATATTGTATTCCAACAGGGAAAAAAATACCAGACAACAAATTCTTTAAGCAGTAAAAGATGTTATTAAAAGCACCAGGTGTCTACAGACTGTCGTGCAAGTATGTGAAGTACTATGGCGATCAAACCAGACGAATCTTCAAATGTTGAATAAATGGATACGAAAAGGATATTAGAATAAGAAAAATCGAGCAAATAGAAGATGCGGAGCATTGCCATTCGGGCAGGCTTCGAAAAATAGAGTTCGATAAGACTAGAATATCTATCTCCTTTATACACTGCTCTGAAATACTTTTGCTCTCAGCTGAATCAATGTAGAGAAATATTCGAAAATATGAAAATTAGAAGAATTCGTAGTTTCACAAGTTGCTAATGGAAAAAATCGGTATTCCGAGCATGATACAGAAATACTTTTAGAATAAAAGTTGTAACAAATTTCACTGCTAGCCACTCGGGCAGGTTCAAAAAATAGAGTTCGACCAGACTAGAATACCTACGTCTTTTACATACTGCTCTGTAACACTTTTGCTCTCAGCTGCATCAATGTCGAAAAAAATTTGAAAATATGAAATTTTTCAGAATAAGAAAAATAGAGCAAATAGAAGATGCACAGCATTGTCATTCGGACAGGGTCAAAAAATAGAGTACTTCCAGAGGACGTCCAGAAAAGTAAAAAATGTATCGCCAGAAGAATGACATCGACACAGAGGGTATACAGCTCAGCCAAACCTGGAAGAAATTGCTTGAAAACAATTGCTGAAACAAAATGCAGAAGACTTACTATACTAATAGATACCATAGATAAAATTAGTCTTTTTTCGTAAATGGATTGGAATTAAACCATAGAACATATTTGTGATCATAAGGTAAGTTACACCAAATTTTTTTTCAGGTTGGGCGTCATTTACTCAAAATTTTATAAATAGGCGATTCACCATTTTTTTAAATAAAATTAAATAAATTTTATTTTCTCCAAAAGTTCTTCAAAATTTATTGACGATATAAACGCAACAGTTAATGATACTTGAAAAATCCACGTCGTATATTTTTAAGAATAAAGCATGATAAACTTGTGAAGTTAACCATAAATTTCAGTCGTAGATTTTAGAAAATGATACAGTAATAAAGACCGATCTAATGTTATCGTGTACCTTTTGCACGTCACTTTTTTCACTGAATACAAAAAGGAAAATTCAATAACCATTTTTTCCTACCTTTTTAGAAAAATTTACTTTCCTCACATATTTGCCAATAATATGATAATCGCGGTTTAGAGTTAATTTAATTTTAACGTCATAATTTTCCCTATTGAAGAGTAGCACATACATAGATATTTATATACACATGGGGTTTCCATATGAAATACCGTGCAAATAAATACCATATATTCATTTTAAAACATAAGCAGCGGGTTCTCTTTGTCGAACAATTGTAGGTCAAGATGAAACGTGTATAGACCTGACATATGTATAGACCAATGTGTATAGACATTGTTTTTGCTGAATTACAAACTAACCATTCAGGATACTTTGTCCAATTGCCGTTTAAGAGGTTGGTGTAGGATAAATCCAAATCAAAACCCTGTAAATTTCGAATTATAATACTACTCACAAAATAATAATTAATTTGAGCAACATACTTCAAACTTGAAATCTGTTATGTTTAATTATAAAAATAGATCTTATTCTGTTTATGTATTCGACGAAGCTCCTCCACCATATTTTGTAATAGAAACCAATAACTAAGGTTAATATTTTAAAAGTTCTCTTCAAAAAAATGAAGCTTTGTAAAATATAGAGAAAATTCCTAAACAAAACACAGCCAAATCAGCAGAAACTGGTTCATTACCTACTAAACGAAATCCAGGTCGCTAACACATCATTACTAATCGATGAGAATGAAATTCTGGTACGTGTTTGTGAGAACTCTGGCATAAGTTCAAGACAATCTGCAATTGGATTAAGCATCCGTTCTTCGATTAGTAAAATAGAAAAACTACGTCCTAACCTCTGCACTCACAAAACTTATTTCCAACCAATTTAAAAAACTTTTATCGATTTTATTGACCACCGTTTGTTGACAACATTTTGTTTATTGGGAAGGTATCTTTTACTCGACGTGGCATTTATAATTTTAAAAATTAGAAATTATCATGCCGTGAAAAACCGCCGGATTAACGATAACTAGGCCAGGCCCCCCTGTTCGACTATTAGTACGATTAGTTGCCCGAGCCCAGGACCCTAGGCAATTGCCTATATTTCCTAATAAATAATCTTGACATTCCAAAGTTATTTTTTGGGCTCATTCGAATTGCCAAATTATATGAGCGTCAAGTTGACTAGGTATGTCTAGAATAAATTACCATTAAATACGAGATTTAGATCAACTTGTGGTTTAAATATGACAGGGATTCATTCTTTATCTTAAGAAAGTGGGGACATTCTCGGGATTGACCAATATCGTGATCACCAAACTAGCTATAAGGTTTCCTATGCTGGAACTACCTCAATTGAAATTCAATAAAATAATGAAAGATTGATAAATATTGTATGTACAAAAAACTTAATTTAAATTTAATTAAAGCGCATTCATAAATAGCTTCATCTTACACTGTTGATCAGCACTTTCAAGTGCAAGAATAAATTCTGGGGATGTAAAGCAGAAAATCTAGAAACATTAGAAATCAAATGCTTTTTTAAGTGCACCACCCAAATAACTTTACTTACTTTCCAAATCGTAATGATTGTCAACTTTTAACTAGAATCTAATCTGCAAGCTAGACTAGAACTGCTTAGAAAGGGAAGCTCTAAAAAATTCGTACCCAAAAATTCGTAGTCAAGTTAAATTGGAATAAGCAATTATTTACTTTCTTTTCATGATAAAACATCGTTCTTTGTCACCATCAATGGTTACATACCCAAATCCTTGCAGGAACGAAAACTGAGAGACCTCAGTACACTTTAATATGCAAAAATCTAAACTTTCTTAATGGACATGCCGTAATTTGTAAGAAACGAAAAGTCAGATAAAGACTTAAATGTATCAACCAATAGCACGTTTATTATAAAACTCCCAAAGAAATGCTACATGCATAATTATATTTAAAAATATTGGCATAAAGTATTTTTAGTATCTGTATTTAATAATTAAATACAGTTAATGTATCAAAAACGTATATCTGGTTTATTGACATATGGGTCACAAAAATGTTTGAATTTTTGTGGAGGCTCCTCCACCATTTTTTAAAGTAACACTTCATTACGAAGGATTAAAGTAGAAAGAAAAATACATAAAAGAACGTGACCTGAGTATGAAAAGCCAAATCGTAGACGTAAATCATTCTAATTGCCTCCTTTTAATAGCGGAGAGTTCACGTAAGACTTAGGTAGATTAGGATAATTGGGTAGCGAGGCTATTCAACAGTATTAACAATGAAATGAAAGAATGACCATAGTTATTGTTAATGTTCAAGTGGGTAATTAGTTAATAATAGAATCATATATTTTTTCTGTGCTCTATTTATAGAAAATATTTAAAAAATATATTAATATTATGGATCTAAAATAAATTATTTTCAAGGTTTCAACATTTTTTTATTAAGTATTATAACGTGAATCATTTTTTAATAAATTTGCATGCAACGTTAGAGTTCATTATAAGTACACCTCTGCGGTGTTACGTAGTTTTAGATACACACGACCTTGTTAGGTACAAAATTTGCGTCAATCGCGTTGTTGCGGTCGCTCCAAGAGTTTAATTGGAATCAAGCACTTCCTTCGGGTAATCGCGTTAGTGGAAATGTTAGAAACCCGTTTTCGTGTGCGTTCGATTGGAATATAATTTCCACGCGAACTGCCACTACACGATTTCGAAATGTTAAACCCACAAATCCGGTAAACTTACCTTAACTACAAACGTAAAAATAATAAAAGAAATAAACTGGTGTTATAAAAACCGAACAACTCAATTTCACATTTTCATTTCAAATTTCGCTTCTAAATTAATACAAATCACTCTCAACCGATCGGAAGGGTAGATTAAGACAAATTTCCTTCACGATTTTCAAACATCCAATAGAGACAAATCTACAAATCCTAGGGATTAGTTCTTGATTTCCAATTCTCTGATCGAATCCGTTGTTATTGCAAGAACCCCCATCGTCAGTCTTTTCCTATATAAACTAACACCCTCCCGGTCGACAAACATCAGTTGTACAATGGAACACATCACGGCTATAGCTTGTCTACTGTTCATCGCTTGTACGTTGGGTTTAACCCCAGCGGAACACCGCGAAGATTTGGCTAAAAGAAAATCATCCCCTGGAAGTCTTTGGTTCGGGCCGAGAATGGGCCGAAATAAAAGAAATCCCTTCAGAAGTGAGATGTTAAATATTGGACCAAGTTGCGAAGATTTGGAAGATTACATCAAAGCAATTCCTTGGGATTTGGTTCGAAGTTGCATAATCAACGAAGGAAAACGAGATGGTAGAAACAATAATAAATCAAACATGTACATTCCAAGACTTGGAAGAGAATCCGGAGAAGAATTCGTGAACGCTCCTGGTATGGATAAATTTTACGACGGGGGAGCTGAATTGATAAGAGAAGTTTTAGCACCAAATTCACCACCATTTTCACCCAGATTGGGATGAATTGAGGTAAAGAAGATTAAAAAATAAATGAAAAATAAATAACAAAAAATTCAATTATTATGTATTAATTTATTGTTAGTATTCAAATAAAGGTCAATTATGTAGAAAATGATTTAATTTCGTTAAAAATAAAAATAGATTATTGATGTAAATCATAAAAACAAACGTAACATAGTACACAAACTGGTACCAATAATAAAGAGAAAACAAAGCTAAAACGATAAAATCGAAAAACATTTTATTGCTAATGCCGGCGTAAAACGCAACATAAAAGAAATAAAAATAAGACTTTTACTGCACATTGTGCCAATGTGTAAACCGACCAAGACTAACCAAATATCTAAAAATACAAGAAGCTCTAAAGTCCACGAAACGTCCTCGAAGATTTACTAGAAAAATATTCGAAATGAAGTACTCAAAAAAAAAAAGTCTTTTTAATCGGGAGACCGAAACCATCGAGATTTAAGAGGTTTTAACCGTAGTCATTAGAACTACGACGAACAATAAACGTCGTCGAGGCGAGAAATCTTTGCCCTCTTTTTGCCAGGATATGACTTTCCTTAGAATATCGCGATCCCATAAACTCAGCGTTATAGTAGTACGTTTGCTAAAGGTTACGGGCGGCACTATTAAAATTACTATCTTCAGTTTACGATCTCTCGGCAACAAACGTAAATGTCAACGTATAAAATGAACCTAATTAACGATCTTTCTAAACGTACTATGTAATAAGTATTAAATCAATAAAAGATAAATTACTCCTTCTATAAATCCTTATTTTTCTATTCTGTTTAAATCGTAATCACGCGACTAAACAGAAAGGAAAATCCTATTCAATATTCATTATGTTGCGTTTGTAATCCGTCCTCGTTCCCAATATCATCAACAAAAACAACGAACCGTGTAGGAAAAACGTACGCAGTCGTTGTCTCAAAGAGTTAAAACACTCAATAGTACACAGAAATGTAAAGGGAAGAGAGAAAAAAGAAGTTGCATGACTGTTATCGTAGTAGGAGATCGGCCACTTGAACCGGTGGAAATTAAATGTACCGGTTGCGACTGGTTGCATGCAGACACTTATCTCTCACGCGCTCCCCTTTATTCCTTATCGAATCGGACCATCAGGTTTAACAGAATTACCCCATATTTATTTTATAAAATAACTAGTAAATAATACTCTTCATTCCGCACATAAAATATAATCAGAAAATTTCTCATACAATTAAAAACTTTATTTGAGTTTATTTAATCGCTTATACCTGATTTTAATTTATATTGTTGATTTAAAATTTATGAATCCTTCGTGACAATTTAATAGTAATTCTGTGACATTGTATAAATGCATTGATAAAAAAAATTGTATTACAATAACATGCGGATTGTATCTTATGGCGAATTGTTATCCATACGACCGGAGCGGTTACCTTTGACCTTTTTGCTATATGCTAGGGGATGCTGGTCTGAACACGACACGTCGATCGATGAAACCTGAACGAACTGACGGCAACTAACTTGGTGAGAGAAGTGTGAATTTCAAATTGAATGCGTTCGCGTGAAGAGATTAAAATCGTTTCCTGGTTTAGGAAAGTTTAAAAATAAAACTTACCTGACATATAAAAAAAAAATATTTTTAATGAGAGTTATGAATTATTAACAATAAGAAAAAATGTTTAACTTAATGAAGGCATATTAGGAATTGAAAACAAATAGATTTTAATATAACGCTTTGTTGAATTGAAACAACATCTGTAATTATTGATAAAATAAATTAAATAAAATTCCTTCGAAAATTGGCAAGCGACCCAATAGCTTTGATTAAGATTAGTCTATTAAGTAAATAACTAAAACGTCTTCACCTTACATCGATATAAGCTATGCTAATAAATAGGTTAATTGTCAAAATAAACAATCACTGAATTAAACCAAATATAACACTGATGATATTTATAAATGATATTTATACATTAAAGACATAATTAAGGAACGAATTTGTGGCACAACTTCTTGGTGCTTTTCTTTGATATTTCGTTTGGATACACTTTTCGTTGCTTAGTACATTTTTGACGTTGTTTTTGTCAATAACATCATTACAAAATTTAGTTTGCTCAAAATTTATTGGTTCATTAACTGAAAATACACGTTGCATTATTCCCTCTTGAAACAATTTTATAATGAATATTCAATAGGGTTCACGCTGGCTTGCATGCTTTCAGCAATAACTAATAAGAAACACAAATATATTCTGAATATCAGCACTACAAACGAGCGCATTTGTGAAATACACAAACCAATGCCATGCGCAGACCTAGACAAATGTTTCATTCAGGTTCATTGTTGGAAATTCGAAATAAAAGAGAATAAAAACGATGAAAATTGCTTTATTTCAGGGGATCGGTGCTACATATGTTTCTAACAAAAGGTTGTTCTTCTTCAAGCGCGACGTTAATTATAACACTTTTTTGAATATAGTCGATACTATACACCACAGAGCCAGAACGGTAAAAAGTAGTTAATAAAAAAATACATTCTCAAAAATTAAAATTATCTCAGAAAATTAAAATATTAAATCCGGTGGAGATAGGCAAAATAAACAAGTCAAAAGTTATTAAAGTATTAAAAAATATATATATGTGAATACAAACAGGTAGGAGGACAGACTGACAAGGTCAGTGCTAAAGAAGAGCAATCTTTTCGTCGAAACATGTAACACCAATAAAGTAATCTTCAACGGTTTGATTCTCTTTTATTTCGAATGCGTCCCTCATTTCCCAAAGTATCAACCTTAATGATTATTCACAATTGCCCTTTGTGATGAGAGAACCTTTCCAATGTTACGGTGTGTTGATGGTGTTAAAATATTGCATATAACATTAACGATTAGGTATGTACATCAATGTTGGCATAGTTTGTCAATTATGTATCGCAATACCTGTTCTGCAAACACCTTATGTTTTGTCATACCGCCGGCATGCCAAGTACCTACTATCAAGTTGTACATAACAAGTAAAGTACTGCAGATAAGAGACATGCTGCCAGAAAATTGTTTGGGAAAACAGGCAGGTGATTGTTTCCATAATAGCTTATTTTTATTTATGTAATACTTGTCGATTTTTCTGAAATATTGATATTTTTGCCCTATTATATCTTTCATATTCGTCAGAGAAAAGGTACGAAGCAATCAATGGTGTATCAGTTCTATTCGCCTTTCAGAGAACTTTTGCTTGGGTACTGCCAAATTTGATAATTATAGTGGTGTAGAGCATCGTCGTGCAAGACTCACATAAACAATTTTTTTCTGCGCGATACGTAAGTCACTAGGTCATCCAAATCCTTTCGTAGAAGTGTAACTACTTTTGCCGCACAGTTTTCCGTAGACGCCATAAGGGGTTATAAACCAATCCAAAAGAATGTCCATCCAAATATTTCTTTGTGTCGTTTTGCATGGCAAAACTGTAATTTTGTAGGTGTACAATATCAACGGCAACTTTATACTGATACCAAAATTTTCTTCCACAGCTTTTAGCACCATTTCTTCACTTAAAGCCATCAATGCAGTAAATTAATTCTGATTTCAATTCGTAAATTAAGCCATATAATAGTCTTTGGGTTTTACACCAAGGTGTTACAATTTTTATAAAATTGTTTAAAATAAAAAATAATGATAAAGAAACCTTTTGTTAAATGGCATGTTCTATTCAGCTTTCTTAGGGAGCATATTAGTTACTAAGACCTTGTAAACTTTCTTTCTACTGCAAAGGTCAATGTGGTGGATCTAATCGCTATGACAATACAAGAACAACATAGTTCTCTATGCGCCGACAGATTTTTTTCGCAAAAAAATCATTCTCTACTCCTACCGAAAATATAACTATACATTTACCAATGTTTGGCCACACTTTTCTGCCTGTCAAAAAATGTTTGGTAGGGTCGAGAAGGAACTAAAGAGAAATATAACAATTATTTCTATAAAGGAAAATATAAACTGTTACAGGATGTTTGGTACTGCAGGACTGACTAATTAATAAGATTAAGTCAATAGCAATAGTCTACAAAACTTAAACATCAGCAAGTTAAAACGAATATAAATACAGAAGAAGATAGGCAGATCAGATTAAGAGAGAAACAACAGACTTTCCACAGTTTTGACGAGAAAACATTTTTGAAAAGTGAGTTATCAGTAAAAAAGCCTGACATTTTATCGCAGAATATGTCGAATTACAGCAGGGAAATTCACAGCTAAAAAAGAAAGACTTTTTGACTACGAGGGACTTTTCAACAACGACAATGGTATTTACGACAACTTTTAATATTAAGAAATTGTTGTAGAAGACATTGTTAACGTTTATTGTAATAAAATGATAACATTGCTTTCTTTAATAGCCCTACTACTTTTGACCAATTTTGGAAAAATTTTTAAATTTGTGAGTAACGTTGGCCCAAAAAGGCTATCGACCGTAGCCTTTCTGCCCGATTTTGTTTAATTAAACATCAAAATTAAAATTCTGGAAAAAATGAGAATTATTTAAATTAATGTTTGTTTCTCCTTTTACCAACAGAATCTAAACGAAAATGTCGAAATAATGTCCAGAAAATTCTGCATATTTATTAAATATTCGTTGTCACAATAGCATTAATGTTGATGATAATAACAATAATTTGGTACATAGTTCCATTACTGTACCGTACACAATATTTCTTCAATTCAAAACTTTTTGAGTCTGAATTACTTCTCGTATTCTGTTTTCTTCATAAGTACTGTGATTTGTAACTTAAAAAAAGCATAACCTTTCAAATATTCGTTGTTTTAATAATTGATCCATTGACGTGTTAACTTAATCACGGAAAAAATGCTATGAGGTAACCAACTTTCTTAAAATTTATTGTTATCATATTAGTTACGATAAGTTGTAACTGTAGTTATTGTTATAGATACAATATATTCTTATTATTGTATTTATTACGATGGTAGTGAAATGTATCGGATTTCGTTGTGGTGATTA